CTTTGCTTTGCTTTGCTTCAGTGCCAGATTTCCTCGCCTGCTGCTGGAGACCCAGGGATCTCCACGTCTGTGTGATTTGGGCCCTGCCCGTCCTTTGGAGCATCTTGGTTTCGGCTTCAGTACTTGAAAGCAAATTCTGTGTGTGCAGTAAGTGACCGCCTGCAGGGCAGGCTGGTTGTGGGGCAGCTGATAAAGATGCTGGGCCGACCACAGGAGAGGATCTGCCCCCAGGTCGATGCCCTTGCGAGGAAAACCAACAGCACGACCTCTGTTTGCAGCCCTCACTGGCTCCTTTGTCCTCAGCCAGAAGAAAATCAAGCAGAGCTCTGCCTTCCAGGGTCACAGGAGAGTTTTGGGTCCATTTGTTTAACAAAAAGTATCCAGTCTGTACTTGCAGGAGGCCATCTGAACACATGAATATACAGAAAAAGAAACAAACTAGCTTGAGGACATCTTGATTAACAACTTTATGGGTAGCAGTTGCTCGTTTTCAATGCTTCATTTTGTGGTACCTTTCGCTGACTTGAACCCTTCCTCCTGTGTGTAAAACCATCACGTAGTGAGCACAGGCAGGTCTGAAGGCCTCCCTGAACCAGAGACCTGCCTGGCAATGTCTGGATGCTTTTGGTTAAAACATTTGGACTAGCAAGAGGCGTTTGTGTGAGAAACCTTTATTTTTTTTGAGGTAGTAGAGACCAAAACAAGTCCATAGGGGATGTGTACAGTCAGAGTCCCATCCTGGACTCACTGCAGACACAACCACAGCATGGCTGCAGTGGGAAGGGAGCTCTGGGCCCACCCAGAGCAGGGTGCCCAGGCCCACATCCGGGTGGCTTTTGGAGATCCCCAAGGAGCCCCCACAGCCTCTGGGCAGCCTGTGCCAGGGCTCCAGCCCCCACACACAGCCGTGCTGCCGGGGGTTTCCAGGGCACCTCTCGTGTCCCACTTCTGGCCCAAATCCAGGCCCTCTGCAACCTCTCCCCGCTCCTCGGGCGCTACTGGGCCCGTGTGCCTGTGCTGGTGGCCTTTGCTGTTATCTCGATCTCAAGCTGTGCTTTCTAAATTGCAGGGAAATAACGTATTTTGTGGTTAATGATTAAGACGTTCTTCTGGGAACCGTGACTTTGCTTGGAGGCATGGGGTTGCTCGCTAACATATGTTTAAAACCAGATGTCAAGGACACTCTCTGGAAGGTGCCTGCAGGCACACGTTTAATGTGGGTTTTGACCCAAATCTACAAGTCTGTCTCTCTCTCGTTTAGGGAAGGGATCAGTTCTCTTCCCATGGGTGAGAACAAGGCGCCTGCAGACTGCTTGCTGAGGGCGTTTTCTCAAAATCCCACCATCTTTTGTATACCTTGGGGAAACGGCCACATTAGGAACAGGTTTGTGCTGTGCAGGGCTCTGGAGGGAACCAGACTGGTCAGAGGCACCAGAGCTGTCTTCAAAACACCAGCACCTGTGCAGGAAGCCTTAAAAATAAATAAATAAATACATAAATACATAAAAGAACAGAAGAGAAAAAAAAATAAATAAAAAGAAAAAGAAAGAAATAAAAAGGAAAGGAAAGAAAAAGGGTAACCTTTCCCTATCTGGATACCCAGATGAAAGAGCCTAATCTTAAGTAAACAAAGTGCAACAATTACCTGACCTGGGTAGCAAGCAGTCTGGGGCAGCAGAGGTGCATATATATTTCTAAAAACGTTACTGCAAGCAAAGATCTTTACACAGCTGGCAGCGAGACGTGGGCGCCGCTGAGGCTTGCATTTTCTCTGGGAACAAGTTTAAGCAGAATCCCCATCACCAGTCCCCGGAGCAGCAGGGGAAACGTGTTGCAGATAAGGCTGAGCTGAGCCTCGGAGAGGGGTCTTGGGCAGATGTAACACGCTCAGCCCCCGAGCAGCGACTTCCAGCTGGGCCATGGCAAGCACCGGGTGTTTCTGCAGAGCAGAACCTATTTTACAAAAGGGGGTTTCACAATCTGCGAGGACATGTGCAGGCTACTGGATAGTCTGAATCTGGCATCTGGTCAGCCGGGTTTTATTTCAATTTGCGTTTTAGAAACTCCTTAGGCATGGGAGGGCCCGTGAAACATTTCTCCATTATCCAAGTGCTTCAGGAAAACGATATCCAGAGCTCTGTTTCCATGATGTCACCTGGGGAGCATGTTGTCCCATTTCGTGCCTGCTTACCGGCGGGGGGGGGATGGATGGATAAGCATTTGTCCTTGTTTTAAAAATGGAGCTGTGGTGGTAGGAGAAAAGACCTAATTTTTATGAAATATTGCAAAGGGAGCTGGGTTCCACTGGCAGGCTTTGTGACGTTAGAGGGTGACATTAGGGCTGATCTTGAAGCACCATTCTCAAACCAGGGGTGGAAAGAAGCCTCCTTTTCCCAGAGGGGGTTTCCAGGGGAGGGTTTGTCAGAAGGGGAAATCCAGAAGCAATAACATTGCTCTGTCTCCTTGATGGCTTTCAGCTGCCCAGGCCTGGGTGGCTGCTGTACTGTACTAAGGCAGTGCAAACGCAAAATCGCTGCACCCCACACAAGTATTAGGGCAGACAGAAAACTTGGTGGGCTCTCCTTGGCCAGTTCATAATCCCAACTTTCCCTAAGCCATCAACATCTTGCTTCAGCAGCTCCCCCACCCGTGTGGCCACCTATCTCTGCCTTACGTCCCTGTCCTGGCCACCACCCCATAGCTGCTGGTTTAGCAGGAACCTTGTGTACACACGGGGCATGCTGCAGCCCACACCAGCTGGATCCTTTCCAGGACTCTCCTTATCGATACCTGTTAATGCTGGCTTAAATATATTTTTCCAGCTGTCAGTCTCGCTGAGCTAAAAAAAGAAAAAAGAAAAAAAAGAAAGTCAGATTGCTGCCCTCGGAGATAAGGCTTGTGGATGGATTTGCAGACTTCTTTGGGGCTGGAATAAGAGAAATTCAAAATGCAGTTGGTTTGCTGAGCTGCTGGGGGAAGAAATTAATCCAGCAGGGTCCCTGTGTCCAGCAGTGTGTGCAGAAAAAGTGCAAGGTGTCCCACGGAGACCTGTCCCCTGGGTGAGAAACTCAGTTGTCATTCCATTCACAAAATCTGCTGAATTCAGTGTCTGCAGGGTTGCCATGGCGAGGACGGAGCTGCTATTTTTGACTCATAGTGCTGCGATTGTCCGGGGACCACGGCACTCCTGCAAAAGAGGCTGTCCCTGGCCGGTGCTGTGCTCTGAAGCTGGGCTTATCATCCCCAGGAGATAAGATAAGTGTCCCCCCTTTATGCACTAGGAATTACCTCAAGTGTTAAAAAGACATTGCTAAGCCTTCAGACATCTTTTGTCTCTGTGCTGGGTGCTTCAAATAGAATTACGAGGTTTGGCTGCCCAAATTTTATTCTTTGCTCTGAAAAGAGTTAAAGAAAATTGTGTTTGGGTTGCAAGACCATCCCTGTAGGAGCAGGACTGGCTGCAGGAGAGAGCAACAGGAGGGTTCATTTCCAAGGCTCAGAGTTTCTCCTAGGGCTGTGGGCTGAGAAGCAAAGTCTTTGCCTCTCATCAAAGAACAAATTTAAGGCTGTATTTGGCTGAATCACTTGTACCTGAAGGAGCCTCTCCCTAGGGTCTCATTTGGCCCCTGTGTAGCATTTCCTCCTTTTGCTTACACCTCTGCCTGCCTCGGCCCCCACGCATGCACCTTGTTTGCAGTGTTGCTTTTCCTGCCACGTCCCCGTCGTGACAGCAGCCAGATGCGGATCGTGTTTGCTGAATTCAGGAATTCCGCCCCGGTTCCGCTGCTCCCCCGCAGGAGGATGCTGTGTGTTTGTTGCTTGAACTCTCCATGCTCCATGCAGGGAGCACAGAGCCAGAAAGCCTGGCACAGCACAGCTGGAGGGGTGCCAGAGGCACGGGGGGACGGCTTTCCCCTGCGTCAGTGGGGAAGGGAAGAGCCCGAAGTGAGCCTGAGACCCGAACAAGCACCCCAAGCAAAAGCCAGATCCCAGAGGGGCTCTGCAGCCCAGGCACCCGGTGCCACACAGAACTAAAGGGCTTGTGGAGGTGCCCAGTTTAATGCTGGTGGGTGCTCAGACCCCTGAGTGAAGGTTTGTGCTTGTTCTGTGTGCAGTGCTCAAGCAAGGTGGACCAAATGCATTGCTGTTAGCCCCTGCACCAAAGTGCAGGACTTCCAACCCCCAGAATGACTTTGCCTGCCTGGTGGCTGTTCTCCATGGGCAAATCCATGAGCAGCTGATATTTTTAGTTCCCAGCAACCCCACCTTGGGCACAGGGGCACGGCACTCTCTCAAGGAGAAAGATGCTCCCTCCCCAGCCGCTGTGTCCCAAACACGTGCCAGGGAGAGCTCGCGGGGCTGTGCATGGTGCCTGGGGGGACAAACCCCAAAGGTGCATGGGGCTGCTATCCCCGAGGACCATGCGACCAAGGGAACAGGACAGGCAGCGGCCAGCACAGGCACTTCCCACTGCTTTGGCAACGGGAACACTTAATTCTTTGTCACCCTGGTAACGATGCCCCGAGAGCAGCGGAGAGGAAACAGCAGATGTTGTGCTCTCAATTATTTTCCCTCAAACTCCGGTAAGCAGGCGCAGGTGTCCTTGGCCTTCCCTCCCGAGGTATTTATTGTGCCTGGCCCCCTCCGCAGCTCTGTGTCAGCTCCCCGCACGATGCTCTGCCAGGCAGGACATGCCCTGCCAGCGCTCCCAGCCCTGCAGCCTGTGAGCATCCTGCCCGCATGGGAGCCACTGCTCATTTCTGTGAGGTGTCTTGCCCAATAGCTCATTTTTTAAATACAGCTAAGGTCCCCGGGAGCTTGTACAGGCTGGTGGGGCACTGCTCCCCATAGGCACAGGGGGTGTGAGGACACTGCATGTCCCACTGGCTGCCTGGGGCTTGGTGGGACTTTGGGAAGCATCAGCACGACGTTGTCTGAAGCCCTGCTCAGACACAGTAACTACTTGGGGTGCAGGGCCATGATAGTCACACACACACAGCTACTTGCACATATTGTAGTATTTACTCTGTCAGAGAGAAATTTCCTACCAAGGAAGCAAAAAGACTTGGGAAAAAAAAAAAAAAAGTATTTCTAGGTAATTAAGATCTCTCTCTGAATTCAGATGACATGCAAGCACATGAAATCCCCGGCGCTTCGTGCTGCTATTGTCTGTGTCGGTGCTGCTTCTGGGATGTTCGCTGTAACTGCGTGTTTTGTGGGACCATCCTTCCTCAGGAACTTGTGGGTGACGAACACTTCTCCTTTCAATTCAGCAGGGAATTCTGCTCCGATCCCAAGAACGCTGCTGTCTGTAATTGCCGTGGGGAGGCTGGAGAAGCTGTGCAAGGACACAAGCCTGTGGTTCATGCTCAGAGTCCTGCTAGCACAGGCACACCCAAACCAGTCAAATTGCCAACAGCCAGGATGAGCAATTGCACAGAAATAAATCTCCAATTCATTTTAATAGCTCCAAATCTGAAGTTGCTGGAGGCTAATTATAGAAGCTTTGACAGTTCAAGGATTAAAATTATCTTAATAGTTTAACAGTATAAACACACTGACTCATTGCACTGACAGTCTCCTGAGCGGCGTGTTCACCTGTGAGCTAGAGGCTGATTTATTTGTTGCAGGTTGGCCTTGAGACGGGGAAAGTAAGTGAACGATATGGCCCTGCTGTTTGACAGTGCCTTGCTCTGGTGATGTTTTCCTGGTAGGATTTGCAGAGCTATTTGCTCACCTGTATCCATGCCTGTATGTCTTTGTTTTATAATGAGTATATTCATATGGAAATAGTATCTCTTTATTTATAATCCACCTTTTTCTTCCTCAATTTGTAGCTGCTTGGGCCTGTCAGACCTGCTGGCCACGTGCATTCAGTAATTGCTTGCAAGAGCAGCACAACTAAAGGTCTGTGCTGCAACCTTTCAAGGCAAACAAACACAAGAGGAGCAGGGCAAGGCTTGGTGGCTGCAGGACATCAGCACCAGCGCATCCTCCTCTCTCTTCTTTTCTGTTGGCCTCATTTCACTTGCTTCCCACACCACGTAAGTCGTTGTGACCTAAATTACCATTTTTTTTTTTGGTCACACTGTGTACAGAAACACATTTAACAGCTTTCTCATAAGGTGACATCTTACGTGTCTTGTGACTGGAGCAGAGGTAGGATTTTTGAGGACTGTCACTAAGAAAAAAATGTAAAAAAGGGAAAGTTGGAGCTCCAACCCACACCTGCCTGCAGGCAGGCAGGGAGGATGGCTGCTGCCATCCATGTGAGGGAATGTGCCACCCTGAAAGCCTGGGAAATTAGTCAGAAGGACATGCCAGGGGTGTAGGAAATGCCAAATGGTTCTCTTCTTATCAGACCAGGACAGGGAGACAGGTGAAATGTTAAGCTGTGACTCCTCCTCCCCATCCCGTTTTTCCTCTTGTCCACCCAAAGCAGTGAGCACCTCAGGGCAGGCGTTATTTCCTTGCACAGGGGCAAACCTCCAGCCCAAGGTGGTGCTAAAACCCTGCTGCTATATTAAATATGATACGGGACCAGCAGAGAAGAAGAACCTTCTCCCTGCCTGGAGCAGCAGCACGAAGCAGGGAGGGAGCCAAACACAGCAGAGATCATTATTTCTGTCTTATCAACAGTTCCAGGCTCTGACCCATCTTTTAGCTAATGCCTGCCATGAGCGTTGCTCTTTTGTCTTCATGAAAGACAACTTGGCCAGCTTCAGCATGAGGAACCGGTGCTCCTCTAAACGAGGAGAGGGTGCCACTGAGCTACGGGCTGCTGGATGGACTTCTTCACGAGGTCCCAGTGGTCGGACGCTTCCCTCGCTCTGCTCTTCTCCACCGTGGCCTGTCCGATGAGGTGCCTGGGGTCAGAGCCCACTTGGTAAATGGAGACAAGCACGGTGCAGTCCCACACGGGAGGCTCAGGCATGTGGAACAGAAAAGTCTCGTTGAAAATGATGAGCGGTGTGTGGGCCCGCGGCCTGGACTTCTGGTGCTTTTGTCTGTGGTGCCTGCAGGAAACATCGATCCTCGCATATACATCTGGGAGGGAAAGAGAAAGGGAAAGAGAGGTGCCTGGGATCATTGCAGCATCTGTCTGCCTCGGTTGGCTTCAGCAATGCTGGAAATCAGACCACTTGGCCAAGGCAATCGCATCTTACTAGGTAAGTAGCTAGTAGGACCTATGTGATCCTGCAAAAGGCAAAGCACAATCGACAGGGACAACCTCCGAATAGCTCTGCAGTTGTGTAACAAGCTCTGAAGTTAGTAGGAACAGGACGATGGAGGAAAGTTTACTTTTGTTAGTCCTACAAATGCTTATGCTAAACCCAACACCTGCAGCAAGGCTCAGAATGAAACAGCAGACAGGAGCCTTTGCAATTGCTTTAGCTGTAATTAATTAGCGAAATGGAAAAGTGTGGCTTTAGAGGTTCAGATAAGAGATCTGAGCACGTAAGGCCATGGGAAGAGTTCAGCCCAGGAGAGAGCAGCCTGGGGATATCAAAGTCTGCTGTGCTTCTCTCAGTCCCAAGGACTGAGGACCTTGGGAATACAGCGAAGAGGGAGAGCAGGACACAAAGTGAGGCAAGGGGAAGAGCTGCCTGCCTTCGTGCTGTTCATGTGCTGAGAGCTGCAGAGGGAAAGTGGCTTGCCATTCTTCCTCCAATTCATTGCTTGGTGCAGGAGAGAAATCCACATAAGACAAGGGTGCAAAATGTGAAGTGTGGCTGAGTCGGGCTGGTTGCCTGCATCAAATGTTGGGTTATAGGAAAAAAAGGTGGCTCTACCTCAGCCTTTTCAGGGCAAGGAGCTGTTTACAGCTTATCTACAATGCAGAGCATCTCTAAGGCTGCTCTCAGGTGTCATCTCGTTGGCGGACATTGAAGGATGATAGCGGTGCTCTGGTTACAACCCCGAGGAGCACCGTAGTACCTCTGCACTTTCTTCACCCTAGGGCATCCTCAAGAGGAAAAGCAAATTGTTGCTCCATACTGAGGGCAACAGGACTGTAATGAAATCCAGCTTTTGGGGTCTCTGCAGAGCAGAGAAAGGGAATTCAAGTCTTGTGATGGAGGGAAGAGGAGGAAAGGCACTGCCCGAAAGAAGTAGCTGGGTGTTTCATTAGTGTGATGGGCCTTGGGGACTGATTCAGCAGCACTTTTCTGTCAAGGCTGGGGTGTGATGGGCATGAAAGGGACCTGCTTCTCCAACACCCCCACGCTCCTCTGAGTGGGTGAGATAAAGGTAGCAGGCAGCAGAACAGAGAGGAGCAACAAGCCCAGCCAACAGGGGATATAAAACCCTTACTTGTACCTGCAGTGCTGCGAGGGGGGGTCGTCTTTGCCTTGAGCAGCCCGACCTCTATCCTCTGAGAGATGGGAAGGCACTTCAGCGACACGAGCACTTCTCCCACGATGTCCTGTGGAGGGCACAAGGGCATGCAGTGAGCAGCCAGTGCAACAACCTGCTGCCACCGGGACCACACGCCAACCTTTCTGCAGCTCACCAGGGTGCTCTTAGTGGCCCATCAACCAAGGCTGCAGGACCACTGCAGCATTCTGGCCGTACCCTGATTTTCAGCATTTTTATTGTGACTGACTTTTAGTTTTTTAACTTTCAGAAATTGCCAGCATTGATTCTTTATTCATTCAGTGTGGCAGTTTCTCTTTCTCCTGATGAGGAACAAGAGGACCCCTGTTCTCCTTCATCTGTATTACCTGGGTGCAGTTCTGAGTTTCAGGCTCACCAAACGCAGACTGGTTTGTCAGCAAGCATCACAGAGCATCAGTACCTGAACCATCACTTAACAGAGTTAAACAAGCTGCTCTGGGCTATATGAAAGAGGCTTTCAGCTCTCTCTTGTTCCTAGGGGTGGTGAGAGATGAGGTACTACCGTACGGACTAATTTGTGCTGATTTCATGGTACTAAAATACTAATTCTTATGGTACCACAGTGTTTATTTCCAGAGGGCTACAGGAAATTCTAGAGGCTGCAGACTGTGACATTTTGGGGTGCTCTGAGAAGCAGGACTGCAACTAAATTCATGTTGCTCACATTTTGCAACAAGTTCCCATGTACCAGCAACAAATCAATGTTTCTTACAGTTAATTGTTCCAGTTGCTGGACTTGGGATGCCGCTTTTTCTCTGTTACATTATGCCCTGCTGATGTTAGCAACCATTTAAAACACACAGCTATCATTTAAAAACCATTATTAGTTCTTTACTGGAACACATCACGTGTTTTCCTTTTGGATCATTGGTCTCTAAGCAAACTAAATGTGCTGTGAACTCTTGTCTCTGTGGGTAGAGGAGGGAAAAGGTGCTGCAACATAAGCCTGGTCATCAATACGCCTCGATCCTTCCCTGGAGATCTCACCTTTAAGAGGCAATTTGAAACTCCATGCACCCAGCCTTCCTGCAGAGCCTACCTGAGCAGAGTGCTGGGAGCAGAGAGGGTCTGTTACCACCTGCATCCCACAGACAGATCCCAGGGATGCAGAGCTGGGCTTTTCCACTAATAAGACTAAGGGGTGGCTGTACTGGCATGCAGCTCCCTGGCAGTGTGTGGGCACACTGGGTAAGGCCATGTGTTAGTCATTAATTACCTTTGTGGTCTTCTGCAGCTCTGCACACACAGCCAGGCTTCGGGAAGCCTTCAGCTCCCTCAGGGCAACCCTGACTTCCCCCAGCGCAGCGTTTCTGGAGTATTTGTCAAACCGTTGAACCTGTGGGAAAGAGGAAAAAGGCATGTCCATCGGGTGAGGTGTGGGACAGGAGGCAGCAAACCTTGCACCAGGCTTTTGGGAACCAGGCTGTCCTGATAGCAAAGGATGCCCATGGCAAGAAGCAAAATTCAGATGTAGCAGCATCACCCAAAGGAGTGCTTCCACCTCTGCTAACAGCCTGGCCCCTCTGGCCTTGCTGAATCCTGCCCTTGCTCTGTGCAAGGTTTGCTCCCTCCCAGCTGGCCGGGTGGTTGCTGGAATCCCCTTGCACAAGAGAGTGTCTTCTGACAGCTGCCCACACTTGCTCGGGGCCAGCTTGGGGCCTTTTCTGCATGTGCTCACACGTGGCTTCAGTCCTGATTTGTGCCTGCCCTCTGCAGCTGTTTCCCCAGCAGTTTGCTCTCTGGCATGCAGCCGTTTCCCTGCTCTGCTCTGAGCTCCCAGGCTGTGCTGCTTGCTTCCCTCTCGGGAGCACGGTCACAGTGTGTGGCCATGGCTCTGCGCACACGTTTTTTGCAGGCGTGTTTTAGTTTTCAAATGAAATCACTTAAAACTGCTGCCTGATGGGGAACAGATTTACTGCTGTCGCTTCGCCACATTAGGAGCCTATAGTTCAATGTCAGTGCACAGATCTGCCAGGGTCTGGAAGGGAGCAGCGTGAAACCACTTCAGCAGCTAGCAGTCTTGCTCCCCTGAGGTCTCTTGCAGCTCCACCTCCGTCTCTCCTTCCACCTCTTGCTCTGCCTGCACAGCCCAGCTCTCCCCTTTGTAGTGTGCTCCTGCCCTTCCGCTGCAGCCATGTCGAGCTGGTGCTTTGCTGCGGTGGTTTCCTTTGATAAACCCGCCAAGTGCTTTTGCTTGTGAAAGGGGCACTCAAAAACTGAACGAGGAGTAAACAAAACCGAGACAGGAAAATGTAATGGCCAAATCAGAGGGGCTTTGAAGTAATGTGAGTCTGGACATTAGTCAGGGAACATGAGATCTGCAGCAACACGTGGGGATCACCATTCACATTCAGACCAACAGTCTGTCTAGCCCACTGATGCCTTCTGAAACAGAAATTGCTCCGTGGTATAAAGTGGAAAAAGGAAGAAAGCACAAAGACTTCATCTTCCTGCCCCAGCTGACTGCTGGCTCATGTCTGACTGCTGGCTTGTGGGCAGAACAGTGGGACTGGCAGGGAAATGTCCTGTCTGCTGCGGATTTCACTGGTGATGCCTTTGCTGCTGTCCCCTCAGCATGCATTTCAAATACACCCCAGTGTATAGGGTGCCTCACAGCTATCTGTTGCCAAGGTACATTTTAAATCCCTGGGCATTCATGGGTACACTGCAGTGTTATAGGGGCAGACCTGAACTGGCTCAAAGTGAGATAAGTCTGAAGCTATCAAACCACAGTAAGGAAGAATTAGGTAGAAGAGGTTTCAGGCTGCATCTGCTCACCAAGTTACCCCCACCAGCTACCTCTGCCCTGCCAGCACTGTGGGATATCCCTCAGCTCAGGGGGCAGCCATGCGTTTACCCCAGGCCCCAGCCTCTATGCCATACCCTACTGCAGGACCATGCAGACCAGGGGATTTCTACAGGGAATGGCTGTGACAAAGGACAAGAGAACACAAGCAAATACAGATTTCAGGGAAATAAAACCATCCCTACAGCCTTAAAATGCCCACAAAACCAGTTGGGCACCCCTTTGAAAGCCAAAGTGTTTAGGGTCTCCAGGCTTTCCGACCCTTCTGTCTGTCAGTGCCACATGACATTGGTGACCGTGGTCCTATTTCTGTCACCAAAGAGCCAACATCTCAGCTGGCTGTCATCCAAGAGGACCTGGTGAATGAGTCTGGAGAGTTACCAACCCCTTTTTTTGTTCTTCAGAGGGATAAGAGATGGAGACACCTCAAGAGGCCTGCCACCAGAGCTCACACCCCAGCCCACCTCCAACTTCAGAGTGCTCTTCTCCACCTCGGCGTCCCGCAGGGAGCAGACAAAATGGTCCCCGAAGGCTGGCCTGCTGCAGCTCTTCACCACCCGGCTTCTCCACTCTTGGACCACGCACTGGAGCCCAGGGATGTGGGACGGGACCTCCTGCAGCAGTCGGACCCGGACAGCAGACCTGGCGTGCCCGCGGCCTGGCAGCCCCCATGCCTCCAGGCTGCTCACGAGCAGCTCACATCGCTCTCTGCGGTAGAGGAGAGAGAACTTCAGTTTGCCCCGGGAGCTGGGCAGGAGTCCCCCATCACTGCTCGGGTCTTCGGTGGTGCTGCAGGAGGGGCAGGAATGTGGCTCGCCCGGCTCTGCTCGTAACTCCGTCATCTAAGGAAAACAAGGATGAGAGGAAGAGAGAGAGAGATGGGTCTTTTAAAGTGTGGTGGGGTTGAATTTTCCTCTTTTTCCTACAATGGTAGACACAGAAGGTGTGTTGATACCTAGTGCTTTTGCTCGTGCTGTCATGCCAGCGCCTGACAGGCCAGCTCCCTGGCACAGCACAGCCTCACAGGCTGGTTCAGACCACGGGAAGAAAGAGGTTGAAGATGCTTTGCTGCCCTCGGGACCTGCATTCGAGCTCCTGCCACCCCCAGGTACTGCTCTGCAGACATCCTCTGCTGGGCTCTGTGCCACGGGGGCCTCTCCAGGGCATCCCCAGCAGCTTCAAAGTGTTCTTTGCTTTCATTTTCTCTGCAAATGAGCGCTGTGGGCATGACGCTGAGCACCCTGCACGGTGGAGCCCAACAGCCACACTGCACCAGCGAGAGCATGGGCATCAGCACAGCCACCTGGCCGTGCAGGATGGCCACTCTTTAAGCATTTTTCCCTTCTTGCCATGCTTTTTTTCTCCAGTGAGAGCCCAGCAGCTGCAGCCCTGCGATAGCCATTTTGTACTCAGCAGCTGCTGGTGGTATTTTGGGGCTGTTGCTGAGCAGGCTCTCTGCCCGCTGCAGAGCCGTCTGCGCCTGCCTCACTGCTGCTCCGCTTCCTGCTCTGCAGCGAGGCCTGGCCAGCTGCGGGGAGGTCAGCAGGAACTTGAGGAATTCGTTTTATTGGAAACCACATCCCTCCGGTAACAGAGGCACAGGCTGGAAGTGGGGGAGAAAGCGGGTTGTGGGGGAGGGAGAGGGGATGGGAAAGGCCCACAGATTGCTTCTTTAAGAAAACCAGATAAATTCTGGATGAAAGAGAAGCAAGGAGAAGTGAAACTTGTGATCAAGTGAGGTTTTCCACCAGTTTCCCCAGAAATGGCACGGCGGGTTTCTTCACTTCCCTCAACAACAGACTCCATGGGCTCTATGACTGCCCCAAAAACACCTGAATTAGCTGCAAAGGTCCCTGCTGCACACCTCGACACCTGGTTGCAGCCTGCAGAGCTGGAGCATCTCCTAGCAGCCCTACTTAGGAGATGTCTAAATCTGAATTTGTCACCCAAACTCACCCAGGGCATTCCCAGTACCCACTGAGAGGCTGAGGGACGATGACACACATGGCCTGAGTGCACGGGGCTGTGGGCAGACTGCAGTACCCGTAAAACCACTGCACTGGGGTCACTGTGTCAGTGTTTTGCTTCTTTTGCTCCCCCCCTTTCCTCCTGTGTCTCTCTGGGACTGTCTGGTCATGCCTGGGAAACAGGGACTGGTGGGCTTGTGGCCCTGATACAGGTCTGGCCCTGGCACCCCACATGAAGGTTGTTATTTAAGTGAAAGAGCGGTATTTTTCTTCCTCCATTCCTTTCAGCTGGAGACAGTCTCTCTTTATACGTTTTCTTGCCACAGGGTTTTGCATCTTGTTTTCTAGCAGAGTTGAGAGACTGTCAGTCAGCCCACCTCTTGTGGGGTTTCTGCAAACAAGGATGGCTCTCGACCTTGCCCTAGCATCAGTGTACTTGCCTTGAAATCCACATTGCTCGGCTTAGAGGTGTCAAGCAGGAGAGGTGGCATCTTCTTCCCCCAAAAGCCGTTCCCTGCCCTTATCCTCACCCTGTCTTCACTGTGGTATTTCTTCTCTGTGGGAATAAAGAAAAGCCAAGTAAGTGATGTCCAGTTTGGATGGAGATGATGATGTTTGGAGGCTGAAAGTCTGAGTTTTGGATTTTTATTTGGGATTTCTGAAAGTCTTTAGAGAAGACTTTCACACCAACCTCCTGGTGTAGATGCCCTATATTTTAGACTTTTGGGGACAGCCTTGCAACACGTTTACAATAAAAATGCAGCTTGGAGCCATCGAGCAAGCTGTGCTCAGATAGCACTTGGCCTGATGCTCCCAGACAAGAGAAGTGGGGTGAGTCATGTTCAGTAGCATGGCTTATGACACCATGCAGCTGGGAAAGGAAGGGAAGGATTGGATTTTTTATCATTTTTATTTTGTAAAAGCCATCCAAGCAGAGAGGGATTGCTGAGGCTGGGAGACAGGAGGCCAAGGAGAGCTGGAAAGAGAGCGAGGAAGAGCTGGTGAGCCTGGCATCACCTGGGGCCTGCGATAACAGATGGGCTTGGAGGGACAGGAGAAGCCATGCATACATTTCTGGCCTGGTGAAGAAGCAGCTGGTTTTCTGGCAAAGCAAGGCTACTACAACTGTATGTGCAAGGCATGTTTGTGGGGTCCTGAAACGTGTGCCCCGTTTGTCTCCTTACAGGTGACAGCCAGGAGAGGTGGCCTGCCCCAGCTCCACATCTGTCAGCAAGAGGGACCTGGTCCCTCACCTGCCTCACGTCAGGGCACCTTGGGCATGGTGCGTGGCACAGTGACTGTGACAGAAACGCTTGCAGTTGGAAGCATAAAAACTGAGGACATAGCTGTTAGTGAAGCCATGCTCAGCTCCTGCATCTGATCCAGGATGGAAGTTGCTTTTTGAGAGGAAAAGGTAGCAGAAACAGGCCCCTGGTGGCTGCTGAGCACTGTTGCCCAATACTTACTTTTCCTAGCCCTGTGGCGTTTCTGGAGCTGACACACCTGGCAAGCTAAGATGGTCAGGGCCACCAGGAGCAAAAGGATGGCTATTGCCAAGATCCCATACTTCCAGGTATTGGAAAAAGGCAGCTGTAAGCTGTGCAAGGTGAGCGAGATGGAGCTGTCCTCTGTCATGCCTTGTTCCTCTGAGAGAGAGAGAAGGAAAAAAGGGGTTAGCATTGCTAGCACTGCCCCTCCGTGTTGTACGACCCAAGCAGGATGCAGGCTGGGAAGGAAAAGGTCTGTATTCAAGTCATACATAAACTGCAGCTTAGGCCCACATGCACAGAACTAGTCATGTTGCTGGGCATGCAATATTATTTATGTGTGTTTGTGCTCAGCTGGATCAGTGCTGCATCATCACGGATCTGTTCTCATCGTTGCCACACAGGCAGGCTTCTGCTGGATTTCACTGCTTTTGGCCAGAGCAATTGACAAAGCAGCTTACGGTCTTTCAAGATGAAAGACTGCTGGAAATGCGCCACACCTGTGATTTCCCTGCAAGCTTCTTTTCAGCCTGCTTCCTTGCCCTCCACATACCGCTGCTGCCTCCTACAGTTGGAGAGAGACACTTTATCAGGGAGTGGAGTGATAGGACGAGGGGAAATGGCTTCAGACTGAAAGAAGGTAGGTTTAGATTAGATATAAGGAAGAAATTCTTTACTCAGAGGGTGGTGAGGGACTGACACAGGTTGCCCAGAGAAGCTGTGGCTGCCCCATCCTCGAAGGTGTTCAAGGTCAGGTTGGGCAGCCTGGTGTGGTGGGGGTTGAAATTAGATGATCTTTAAGGTCCCTTCCAACCCAAACCACTTAGTTTGGACTTCCATCTCTGTTCCTTTGCTCCAAGAGAAAAGATGGCAGTGGTCCATTAGGCTATGGCTCACCATAGCCTTTCATCCTGCTTAGCCTAAGTAACCACAATGAGGACTGGAGGAAGGGATTCTTCCAGTCCTCTTAGGGTAAATATCCTTTAAGAGCATTATCTCCCTTCTCAGGAGAAGGTTGAATCCATCTGGAGAGGTGCAGGGATGAGTGCTCCCTCCCCCTAGGCCTTTACACACATTCACAATAGAGCTCTGGTTAGGAATAGCACTTGGGTGGTGTGTTTTTTTTTTTCTTTTTTTCTTTTTTTTTTTTCTTCATGATTACTTAAGATGAGATTAGAACACTAATCTTTGCAGGGAGCAAACATTTCACCTAACTCTAGCAAACAAGAGCAGCCAAGAAACAGAGCCCAGCTTCAGATGAGGTCTGTTCCAAGAAATTACTGCTGGTTTACACAGCCTAAAGCAAGCTTGAAAGCAGGAATCAGTTTAGTGAAGCTTTCTGCACAGAATCCCTAAATGTGCGTAATTTCTTCACCTCAGAAGATGTTGCTGTTCGTACCAGCTATTTTCTTCTATGATTTCTCATGACTGACTGTATTATCTGTACCTTTGTTGCAGGGCCACGTGCAGCTGCTGGGGTATGTGCTCTGTATAACATACCCCATCCACCTCCGCTGGAGATGAAGCAGTAGAAATGAACGGGAAGTGACTGGCAGAGACATCCTTGTGTGGGTGAGAGCTAAATCTCAGTCTAAATAAACACTTCCCTGAAAAAAAAAAAAAATGGACTAAGGGGAGCCTTTAAAACTGGCTGAGAAATTTAACTCACTGCTAACCTGCAACAAGTAGTTGTGCCATGAAAAGAATCTCAAAGAAGCTCAAAGAATCACAGCAGGCTGAAGGGCAGTTCTATGGCATCCAGAGGAATTCAGCTACAGTATAACCCTCAGGAAGAGAATAGCATGAAAGTAAAAGAACCTGTAGTTTAACAGGCAAACAATTGCATATATCAATTAGTCCTGATTCTGCACTGCAGACCCAGAGACCTTAAAGCTTGTGGCTGGCTGTCATTTTCCTGAGAGGTTTCTTATTTTTAAGAATGTGTATCTGTATTACGTGGCAGGAAAGCAGCTATTTAAGTAAAAGCGGCAAGGCTGAATGTCTCCTGAACCATCACACTCAGCCTGGCACTCCTGGAACTTGCTCCAAATCAGCTTCACCTTTCAAGATCTGCTGTGAGCTGCCCCAGCACTGCTGGGTGAGTTAGCCCAACCCCAAAAATGTGCACGGCCGCTCTGCCATCGCACAGATGGGGCAGGACAGGCCTGGCATGGCACAGTCCATCTCCCTGTCCAATGTCCCCATCATCTAAATCTGGCTGTCACTCGTTCCCTTGTCATGTGAATGGCAGCCTCCAGCATGCCAGGTGCTCCCCACACAAACATCCCACCCCCAGCTCCTCCCAGGTGCATAACTCAACACTGGGCGACTTAAACAAAAATCATACCTTCAGAAATGGCTTAAAAGCGGGTCTCTGGGAGCCCTCTGAGAGCCTGCACGCCGCCAGCATGACAGCGAGATCAGTTTGTAATTCTAGAAAAACAAGGTCCCACCCTGCTCAGCAAGACGCGAGCCAATATTGACGAAACAGGTTCGGAACAGGACGTACATGTGGAACAATGCGATGGCAGGGCTGCCGCTCAGTTAACTCCACAAGAGCTGCAGAGGGATGGGGTTCTGGGTGCCCGCTTGGCAAATCTGGCTGTGAGGGTCACCACGGGAGGTGCTCCATGCTGAGCAACCCTGCAGCTCCCAGCAGGTCCTAAGCAGGGCATGAAGGGCAGAGGCTGGGCTTCTGGGCTCTGGGAGAGGAGCATTTGTAACCCTCTGCTGCTCTTGGCAAAATCCCGAAACCATGGCACATGCTGGCCAGTAACCCCTACTCAGATGTGAATGCAAGCCCCCAGAAAACATGGGATAGGTGAGTGGAATAAGAATACATGTTCTTCATTTGTTTTTGCTGTGCAGTTGTTTTTTAACTCTTCTTCTTTTACCCAAAGCAATAGGATATATATATATATATTTTTTTATTTTTATTTTTATTATTTTTTTTTTTCTTTTCCCAGGTCTGTCCTGTGGATGTTGGGGCTGTTGCAGCTTCATACCAAGAGGCAGCTGGATGGGAACTCTTTGCACACACTACCGGAGCTAGATCCATAGACACCTGAAAGGTAGGAAGGGTTTTCTCCTTCAGAATTAAGAGGGTGGTGCCATGTGGCAATTAGAGGGCCAAGAATTGAGGAGGGAGATGAGGAAAGAGGTAGAACAGCATCCTCCAGGGCTTTCCTTCCTCCCTCACCTGGTTCTCATTCCTTGTCCCATCTGGATTTGAGGACTTGGATCAGTCCTGTTTGGTCCTTCCAGTCGGGAACTCTGCTCTGTCCATCCAGTCACCCAAATCCAGCCAGATTTCTTCCCCCAGAGCATTTGTTAGCAGCCACTAGCCCACCCCATTGGGATTACAGCTGTCTTTGATCCCTGCAGTTAGGAGATGTGGCTGCATCCTTGCTTGCAGCATGTCTACTTTAGATTTGCTTTGCAAGCTGTGGCAGGGAAGGGGGGAATGAATCCCCCGGGAGTCTGCTGTGAAGACAGCAGCATCTCCCCTCTGCTGTAAGGGCTGAACAAAGTAGCCCTTTCTCCTCGTGGGAGGTGCTGAGGAGTAAACTCCTTGATGCTTTCTGTTCTGGTGATCCCCAAGCGCAGCCTTGCTCCTTGTTTTGTGGTTGCTGCACATTAGAGATGAGCTGAGGCATCAAACCTGGCTACGAGGAGCTCAATTAGCCACGGCACACCTCGAAGTGATGGCAGGCAGGCAATTCTTCCCAGCCAATTACAGCATGGCCTGGGGAGTGCTTCTGTACCCTGTGCATCATCTGCAAAGCATAATTAGGGTCTCAACTAAGCGTCTAAATGAAGTGTGAAACAAGGCAAAAACAATGCGTATCAGGTCAAGAAGTTAGGGTGGGGAAAGCTGGCTTTGCAGAAGGTCTGTCCCAACACCTTTTGGTTCTTGGGGTGTGATGGCCCCTGACGAGGTAGGGAGGGACATAAAACTATCTTTCAGACTATCCTAGTAGAGGAGAAGCTCAGGAGAGCCGAAATTGCTGTTAGCATCCGTGTTGTTCAGAGGGGGCACCTGGGGCCCTGCTGTGCTCCATCCCTTTCCCCCAAAAGCTCCTGCAGCCTGGGTTGCCAGCCAGCAGTGAAGCAACGCTCTTCCAAAGCAAGCAGCAGGTTTAGCTGGGGTATAACCTGCCTGTGAGGCCAACAATGTTCGCTTAACTGCTTCTGGCAACGGAGCTGGAACACCGTGACCTCCCCGCTTTAGATCATATGATGCAGTGAGCAAAAGGTTGTTGCAGAACCCTAAACTACTAGCAGAAACCCAACATTTTAACACATACTAAACAGCTGTTGCCGCTACTGAGATCTAAAATACAAACCTATGAAAGAATATAAGAGCTCTAGACTCAAGTTCTCTGCTCCCGAATCTATTTGATCTCAAGAGCCATGTTTTGTTTTTTTAAAGGGTTTGCTTTAAGTGTCAAGATGTCAGTGTTTGGAAACATGCTTTTGGGGTTACACGCAGTGCAGAGATGGTGCACGGCAGCTTGTTTATGCGTAAATTAGCCTGCTATTTGTATTAGAACCCTGGGCTGCACACAATTTGCAATGGCATTGAGCTGTCTGCCATGAACTGAAAGTTCTACCTGGATTTCTCAATCTTCTATTTTATTATTAACCTTCATAACATAATAAAAGAGAAAGCCAGTATTTGCGAGCTGCTGGTAAAAGGGTACCCGAGGTCCAACCGTTCTGCCCTTGATGGAAACCAAGTCATTATAGAAAAAGGGAAGTTTTTAGCATTTGGGGCAGCATCAAGAGAAGTGTGTAGGAACTCTGCTCAGGCAAATGCTCTCCTTTGTTGGAAGCATGCTCAGATCAATGATTTACCTCAGCCCAAGAACAGCCAGTTACAGCCTCTATGAGATGAATATGTGAGCATCACAAGGCATCTTCAAATTGCACGCCACACTAAGCGACTGCTGCATGGAGAGATGTGAGCAAACAGGATAATCTATTTCTTTTGCATTCTTTCTGCAGGGTTAGCCCAGGGCAACACCAGGCTTCTCACCTGCATTTTTTAAACTACATTCTTTCTTCTGTTGCACTGTAGCATTTTAAGTGTGCATCAGATTTATTTTCCCTTGCAAGAAGGTTTATTACAGTTCCAACTTGGGCGAGTAGCCCCAGTCAGTAACCTCTGAAATAAGGGATATGTTTTCTAGGCTTGCAGCCTTCCTAGGGGCTTGACTAAGTTCTCAGACAGGCTTCAGCTAGGAACGTAACCAAAAGCAAACAAGAAACAAATTACTAGTAGCAGAGTAGTTCAGAGTGATGGATTGGCATTGAAGAAGAAATATACAGATTCAAGCTACGGGTTGTATCTTATTTTTCTTTTTATAAGTAGAAAAACGAAGCATTTAATTATTTGCAAACAGCTTTTAATAAAATTCCTGTAAAACCACTCTTGCCAGAGCAAACATATCAAACCATTTAATCTTTTCCCATACCAGCAGAAATGTACAGCATCTTTTGTTTGTGGGAAAAATCACTTTTCAAGGGGTGCTAATTCTTGAGGTTAAGCAGCTGAACAGCCACTCGTTTCTTTTTCCTCTAGTAGCCTGGTCATCACTGCTTTTCCAACAACTCCTCTACAGAAAGGCAGTGGAGAGCTGACTTTTAGATTAAAAACCACATTTCTTATGTGGCTTGGTTGTTGTTTTGCTGTTGTTTTGGAGAGCTTTCTCCAGAGACCTGGCAAAGGCACCACCCAGTGATAATACAGTAGGTAGTTCTTCCCTTGCCTTTGGGAAGGAGCTCTCTTCTAGAGCCCGACTAATGCGTTAGGAGGGATTACAGGATTAAGGAGCTCCTAAAGGGTACAGACCCACTTCTAGCAGATGCCCAGTAATTGTTTACTTCAAGGATAACGATGCTGCAGTGAAAATGTACAACGCTTTCATGAGCCTCAGCGCTGCACGGAAGGCTTATCAGCTACCTGGACACCCCACTCAGGGAATCCACAAGTGTTTTTTGGTAAAAGCACATTCTATATTAAATTAATTAGCTTTATGTACGAAAAGTTCAGATTAAGAAGAGGACACTGCTTTCTTTGACTTTGCTCTGTAGGCAGTCACCACTCATGAAATGATCTTCACTTCAGGCTTGGATTCTTCCAGGGCTCTTAGTTCATCATCCACTTCAGAACTCCAGAAAATGTCATACAAACTGCACCAAAACAAAAAGGCAAGCTGGTTTAGCAAGCATCCTCCCATTAAGGTAAGAGAGAGCAGGAAGAGCCACAAATTGCTGTTATGAGAAGACCACATAATAACAGAAAGGGCCCCATCTAGGTTGGGCAGTCTGCCCCAACAACCAGTTATGGGTCTTACAGAACTGGACCATGTTATTCCCACCATAGCACCACCATCTCCTCTTCCTCGGGCCTCAGGGACCAAAGTGGATTAAGCCATTATGGTCACACCGCTCAGAAGGGTCAGGGAGGGCTTTGCAACAAGCAGCTGGTGCTTCACGCCCCCTGGGGTCACCAGGAGGACTGGTTCTCCTGGCTGGAGCTTGCTGTTTGCAAGGGGAACGCAAGCAAGACCAGAAACATCACTCACATCAACTGCTGCAGCTTGCAGTTGGGATTCCTCACGGCTTCGCAGAGCTTCCTCACGCCTTCATCCTCCAGAGTGTTGTAGCTCAGGTCCAGCTCCGTAAGGCACGGCTTGGCAACCATGAGGGTGGCGAGCGTGGCACAGCAGGCTGCAGTGAGATCGCAGTTGCCCAACCTGAAGGGAGAGGAGAGAGCACAGCAGAGTGGGAATTTCAGCCCCCAAGCAAAAAAAAAAAAAAAAAAAAAACAACAACAAAAAACAGGTAACACAACAAAAGAGGAGATGACTTGTGAGGGTGCCCCTTACCATAGGGAGTGGATGTTGCAGTTGGGGTGCAGCAGCCCTTCACACAGGAGTTCAACACCTGCATCTCCCAGCTTGTTCTCACCAATGTGCAGCACTTTCAAGTGTTTGTTCACACTGAGAACAGAGCTGACTGCCTTGCAGCAGGCAGTTGTGAGCCCGCATTCTCTAACCCTGCAAAGGAAAAATGACATGAGAACTCCAGGGATCTAGAGAGCATCAAGCACTGTTCACTTCACGTTTACTTCAGAGGAGCCTGCAGAGTGAGAAAAGAGGAACTGAAGCCTTCCCACAACCACTGAACTTCCCTCCACTCCTGTCTGCCAATCCTTTCAGAGCAGCACCTCTCCCACCATTTATATTTGGGTTGTTTGTCTCAGAGTATGTATCTAGGACAGACAGAAGCACAGGAACAGACTCCTGTTCAGAGAATCATGCTGCTCTCTCAGCTCCACTGTGCACTCCTGGGGCACTGCATCAATTCCCATGCCACTGGGGTAAGGCAAGAACCCCACTGATGCGTAGGAGCTGAACGTGTGACGTAGAAAAGTTGAAGAGCTGCCTGTTACAGTTTTATGTGAAAGAACAGTATCCCCCTCCAGGCCATGCAATAGCAGAGCACCCCAACCTGTAATGTAATGAATGCTGTCAGCATGAGAATGCTGGGAATGGTTTTGTCATCCGAACTTTCTCTGGTTAGATTTAGATTGTAAAGTTGGCACCACAGGTTTTGGTGCTGACTTTTATCCAGTCCTTCCAATAAGCAATTATACTCTTCACTCGTGGAACCATCGCAACTGAGGATTTATTTTGTATTTTTTCACCTACATCTCTCTTTAGTTAGGTCTCCAAAAAAGTATCGGGTATGTGAAGCCTCACAGCAGCTTACCATAGCTCCTGGAGGTTAGCTTTGGGATCCTTGAGCGCCTGACACAGCATCTCCATTCCTGAGTCTCTCAGGTTATTGTCTATCAGGCTGACCTCTAGGAGGGTCTCTTTTGTACTGAGGACTCTGGAGAGATCTTTACAGCTAGCGCTTGTGAGATCGCAGTCCCATAACCTGCAGGGAAGAACCAAATATTATTTCCCCCCAAGAATTACTTAGATTAGAAAACACAGTTCTCTGTTAGTACTCTGAACTTCTGGTTACACCATCTCATTCTCTTCAGTCCTTTACAAAACTTGTCCATGCATTGTACCACAGAGCTTTCTCTCTACATTCCACCCTTTGCACTGAACGTTCTGTTTGTAACAGAAAGGGAATACGAACACTCGTTTCTGGTAGACAGACATCCCGCAAGGAGGAAAAGACAATGGCATCACAAATTCTCATTCACCCTCTCCCCAGAATTTGGTCTAAGTGATTTCAGTGCAGCCTTGCTCCTTCATGGCGTCCTTCCCCGGGTTTTGTGAAGCAACTAACTTGCAGTAGAGACATCCTTGTTTCACTAGGGGGTGTAACTGAGAAGCTTTCCGCTTTGGAGCAGACCAACCATACAACCTAGACAGCTCAGAGGCCGCAAGAGGGATTTGAGCAAACCCTCTCTACCCTTACCACAGCTTCTGGATTCTGCAGTGTGGATGCAGCAGTCCGTGGCACAGTAGAGCCAGGCCGGAGTCCCCAATCTTGTTATCCCCCACAGACAGATCTATCAGCGACGACTTGTTGCTCAGCACCGCGCTGATGTCCCGACAGCTGTCACTGGTTATTCCGCAGTTTTCCAGGCTGCAGGAAAAAAAAGCACAGTTTGAATTGCTGCTCCAAACCTGCTGCATTAGGTACGATCCTCCACGCCCTGTTTGGACATTCACCCTTATATCAACTGTCTTTTTGAAGAGGAACTTTTGGACATTATGACACTGTGAGTCCCCTGCAGCCACAAACCAAACTGGGACACAGGGAATGAAGGAAAAGGGACTGCTGGCTGCTGCAGAGCCCTGAAGCCTCTGCACAGCTGGAGCTGGCTCCCTAGATCTAGGTAGCAGTGACTTAGCAGCTGTGTGCTCCTCCAGCCAGGCTGTGCTGAAGCACATGGGCAAGTTAAAACAATTGTGCTTCTACCTTGAACCCTCCCTTTCAGGGGCTGTACCAACAAGAGGACAAATTCAACATCTCTTTCTTGAAGAAAATCTGGATCTGAATAAATATGCTCAGCCAGCTGGTAACTCAGGGGTAAGAACTAGAGCCTCTGAAGGCTGTTGCTCTTTCACTCGCAGATACTGATGAGCAGCCACTCCTTGTAATTGCAAATTTAACCTGGGGTACGTGTTCACGCCACACCAATAGACATGGGAGTGAACTTAGAATCACATGATAGTTTAAAAAAAACAGATGTGCTTTCAGTTTCCACAATTCTGGAAATTTGAGCCAGCAAAAAGCTGGCCTAAATTTCAAGCATTCTTGACAAGAGTTTTTCCTTCTTTTGTGCATGGTAGGAATAGCAGCAGGGTTATTTTCAGCTAGAGGTGACCAGCTCTTCCTTACTGTAGTAACTCTAAGTTGCAGCTTGCCTCCACCAGCCCCCGGCACAGCTGCTTTACAGCTGTATCTCCCAGCGTGTTGTTGCTCAGGCTGAGCTCCTTCAGGGTGGGCTTGGTTTGCAGAGCAGCATTGAGAGCTTCCACAATATCAGCCGTGAGTTCACAATACTCCAGCCTGCAAGGAGAAAAGAAACCCAGGCAAAAAAAAGTGTCTCCACCACGTCCTGCTACCAACAGACACATCGAGGCAGAAAATGTGCCAGTGGGATCTACGAGTTGAGACGAGGCAATGCACGAAGGAGAGGGGACCATAAGCAGACTGCAGCATGGTTCTTACAGCATGTTATTTCTTAAACTGAGACCTCAGGGAAACCAAGCAAGACTAGCCCCCCACCCCAACTTTACTCTAGCCCCCCACTGAAGCAACACACAGGCTGCCTCAGCTTCGAATTGTGGCACATCACGCAGCCTCACCACCAAGCCTTCCCGAGAGGAGCTGGAGACTGCAAAGAGACCTGGGTCCAACTCAGAGGCAAAGCAAGGACCAGGTGCAGCAGAATCAGCCTTCCCCTGGGAGTCAGAGGCATCTTGCATTAACAGGATGCTGCCAAATGAGCTGAATAAAGCCTACGGGAACAGGCACCCAGCTCTGACAAACCCTCAAGACTCACTCCCACACAATCAGGTTCAGACAAAGCAGGAAGAAATCCACAGCTGGCAACAAAACTCCTGTTTGTCTCAAGTTCAAGACATATGCGAACTGCCTGATGACCAAAATGCTCAGGGACTACTTACTGCAGCTTCTGCAGCTTACAGTTGGGGTTCATCAGCCCCTGGCACAGCACCTTCACCCCAGCAGTTCCCAGCTTGTTGTCACCCACGTGCAGCTCTGTCAGCGACGGCTGTGCGCTGAGGACGGAGCGGAGAGTCTCACAGCTGGCGCTCGTCAGGTTGCAGTTCTGCAGCCTAAAGGAGAAAGGCAGCTCAGGTGAGATAAATGCATCCCCAGAATTACCCTGGGACTCTTCTGGGAGAAGTGCAGCTGCTGGGGTTTGGGCAAAGGAAGGACACCATGGCACCTCCAGGATACAGCTCTCTCGAAAGCAGTACATCCAGGTAAGTGCTGTTATTTTAAGGTCTGCCAAAATATTGTACCAGCTCATATTGTACCTGTAACGTGAGCGTGAACTCTTAGGTTCCCTTTGGTCTAATTGCTCATGTAGCAGAAGAAGGATCCACCCTACATTAAGCAATACCACAGCTGCTTTATAGCAGTGTTTTAATAATTATAAGGTTAATCTGTGAGAGAAAGCACATCTTATGATTTCTTATTCCCCTGCAAATGTCATCCAGAGTAGCTAAAAGTAATGGTCTTGTCTTACTTGGCTTAAACCTCTGGATATATCATTCAGAAGTTTTACTGTATGCTTCAAGAAGGATCTATGAAGCTTATCCTTCAGTGCTCAGGTGAGGAGAAGCTGTATAGGAAACAGGCTGCTATTTCTACAGGGTGTTTTGAGCTATTGGATGTGACACCCTTGTAATGGAGAAGTGTTGTGCATAGTGGTGCTAACTTTGGCTTGTATTTGGTTGCTCTCTTTCCCTAAGACACCTTACCAGAACCCCAAAAATGAACAATCATGTTCCTACAAAACTGATGCAACCTAATCCATGCTATTTCTTGGGGCCCTGTAGAGTTTGGAGCTCAGGACAAAAGCTCTCTGAAAAATATCCGGAGTCAGTCTCCTAGTACAGCATAGCAGAGTTACGTTTAGAAGCCCATCTGAGAACTGCTGCTTGATTAGTTTCAGCCGTCTCTCTCTATTTGCCAATGACCCCTCGCTGCAGGGGGCACAGTGACTTTGAAGCAGGCCTATCTGGTGTAAAAAGGAAACAATTTGTATGAGGTAGCATCAGGAAGGTGCCAGATGCACCTCAGGAGCTGGAGAACTCCAGTTCTTTGCTGAAGAGCTCCTGGACAGAGGAGGCAGCACCTCATTGAGGGTCACTAAAGAGCAAAGGCAGCAACTGCTGGCTTTGACTAAAGCTCCTGCAGCGTGGTTGGGCTGTAGGGCTTGCTAGGGGAAGTCTTTTAATGCCATAGTGTGCTGCTAGTGCCTCTGCAAAAACTGCTGGCTTGAGCCGAGCCCCACATTCAGCCCCTGCCCAACTGACAACACAGGGCTTGTGGCAGAGTCAGTTCGGTGGGGTGCAGAAAGACTGACAGCTCCTGAAGTGCCAAGGAACACCAACACTCACAGGAACACCCTTTTGCTTGGCTCCCATAGAAAGAAGCAAGCAAAATGGATGGGACTGCTAAACCCCGTGCTGATAACTGGCAGAAGAGTACTCTGAAAAACACATTTCTGAGAATGTCAGGTGTGTCCTAATGGCACATACGCTAAAGAAGGTCTCTGTAAACCCTTAGCTTGGCTGGGAAAACTCTACCTGTCCTTCCCTTTGTGCTGGAAGACAGATGGATAATCTGGAGTCTTACAGCAAATATGCTAGCTAAGTAAAAAATCCTGCAGTATTCCAATCATCTGACCTAGGTAGTGGCTGAGGTGCACCAGCACAGCTCTGCTCCTACAGGCACATACTAGTTTGCCTTGGGACTTCTCCTACAGCACTCTGCAAGCCCATCAGAGTGAGGCAATCAGCACGGCCTTACCATAACTTCTGCAGGCTACAGCTGGGCGTCAGCAGCCCTTTGCACAGGTACTCAATGCCTGCATCTCCCAGCTCATTGTTGTTCAGCTTCAGCTCAGTGAGGGACGGGTTCGTGTTGATGACAGAGGAGAGGTCCTTGCAGTTGCTGCTGGAGAGATTGCAGTCATCCAGCCTGAAAGAGAAGGAGGTGGGGTCTGTTAGTCCTCAGGGTCTCCCTGGCTGAAGCGCTCCCCAGGAAAGCAAAGCGGCCAACCTACGCCTCCTTGGGCCGTGGGACACCTCCAGAAGGCTGCGTGTGGCTCATTGTGCAACACGGGGCCCAGACCTTTGCTTCTATGGGGCAGAAGATACTCTGCCTGTGGGGCTGTGGCACACGAGGGGCTGACGGCAGCTTCCCAAGCCCCAGGCTGCCTCCACGCTGCGCAGCCACATGTCATGCCCCCCTCGGCAGGGCTGCAGCTGGAGGACGGTGTGTCTTCATCTGGCCTTCACTAGCAGCAAACTACCCACATCTGAAGCCACGTTTAGCCAGAGGCCGGCTCATGGGCTGCCAGACTGGTTCTGCACTGCAACTAGCCCAGCCGGGCCCATAGCCAGGCTCCCCAGCCCCTGGGGGATCCAGCCTCCTACGGGTGAGTCACGAAGCCTTCACAGCCTCTCTCAGCATGGAGCAAGGCTGCGGCACGACAGCGGCCTCGTGCACTGATGCCAGGGTTTTATCTGCTGCTGCTCAGTTGAAGAGGACAGAGCTGAATGGGGTGGAGAGTTAAGGAATGGACTGGGAGCCAGGGATGGAGCAGGACAGGCAGGGAGTGAGACAGAAGAGGCAGGGGGTAAGGAAGGCATTGCAAAGAACCTCACAGTCCCAGGCATGGCCTGTGGGGAAGACTGCAGAAGCAAATCTCCTGAACAGCCTCATCCCATTCCCCTGCTTGCACTGGAGAACATGGTTCCCCCAAAGCAGCTTGCTCAGCACTCTAGGAGGGTACTTTTGGAGACTGCCTGCGGAATTAAGAGGTGTTCGCATGGGGCTCGTGCTTGACAACCAAGGAACAGTCACCTGGCAGTGTGCATGCCACTTAATGGGCACAAAGAACATTTGCCTTCCCTCACCTGAGGGATCTGACTGTCAAGAATTACCAAAGCAGTGGTCAAATGTGTGGAAAACCACTGAAGACGTCACCTGGGTGAGTGTGCATGCCATAGTACAAGGGCAGTGTTAGTTCACACCAAGGGATGCTCCTCTCTAGGCAAAATAAATCCTTGCAAGAGCATTTTTATCTTTTTATCAACTTTCTGGGCAAAAATATGTAAAATCATTTCTGTTCCCATGCCTCTTTTAAATCACGGGTCAACAATAGTACAGCTCAGTCTTGCTACTGAAATGCACTGTGCCTTGTACCTCTTCTCACAGCAGAGAAACACAACTCTTACTCGGAGGAGACAGAATGCAGCTAGTGACTACCTGATGCTTCTGCAGGATTTCATGGTAGACAGGAGCTCAGCCCATCGAGACGGGTCCATCTCCTCACACTGGATGTCAAGGTCCATTTTGGAAGTTGAGCTAGGATCTGAAAATGGAAAATCAAGGTGTTATTTCTGCTGCTGGCTGAGAAGCAAGCACTGCAACGCTCCTCAAACCCATTCACAGTCCTTGGATACAGGTCAGACCACGCCAAGTGGGCAGGCTGTGCTCTCCGCAGCTTGCTGTGAGCAAGTTTTAGGGCAGCCCCTAAAACTGCTCACACGTGCTGGGTTTCGGCAGCTCTTCCTGACCACTGAATGAATGGCTGTGCATCAGGTTCAGGCACTCTGGGTGGGCAAGTTGAAGCACAGAGAGCCGGGCAGGAGGGATTGCTCCTTGCTTTGCACCCCAATTGTGCTTCAGGAGCACCCCATAAACCCGCAGGGGGATGCTCCGAGGCCAGCGGCTGGGCGAGAGCCGAGCCTGCAGCCCCGCAGCCAGGTGACGGAGCACGCTTCGGTCATCCCGGCGCTGGCAGCGTGACTCAGAGCACGCCTTAAAAAAACCCCACAGCGAGGCGCTGGGTGAGTGAGCGCATCGGAATGGGGCAGCTCCAGAAGCCAGCGAGGCAGCGGCGATGCCCGGCAGCGCCTGCCCTGCGGGGCTGCCCCGTGCCCGGTCCCTAGGAGCGGGGCTCGTGTATTCACCTACTGCTTTATAGGAATTCCACCAAACACCCCCCGAGTTCCCCCAAAAATTAGTATTACTCTTTTTTTTTTTTTTTTTTTTTTTAAGTTTTACCAAACGCCCCCGAGCTCCCTCCCGGGTTATTATTATTATCATTATTATTTGGTGTTGTGGTGTCCCAGCAGGCTCCCCCCGCCCCCTATGGCTCCCGGGACCATTTGGGACGCTTTGGGCCCCCCCCCCCCCAGCCCCTTACCGCCGCCACCGCCCGCGCGCTGCGCCCGGCCCGCTCCGCTCCGCCGCGCCACGCCCCCTCGGGCTGGCCACGCCCCCTTCTCCTCTTAGGCCACGCCCCCTTTCCGGATTCCCGCCCTGCCCCTTCCGCCTGGCCACGCCCCCTTCCCGCCTGGCCCCGCCCCTTCCCTGCCCGCCTCGCCCGGCCCCGCCCCGCCCCTCGCGGCCCCCCCGCCATTTTCTCTCCCCCCTTCCCCTGTTTCCTTTATTCCTCCCCCATTCCTCCCCCTGCCTCCTTTTCCTTCCTCCTCCATTCTTTCCCCGTCCCTGTTTCTTACCGCTTTTTCCATCTCTCTTCCCCCTCTTTTTCCCCGCCAGAGCCCACAAGAGCACAGCCCAGTGAGGGAAGGCACAAAAAGGGCCAAAAGGACCAAAAGTTATCCAAAGTGGCGTCCCAAAAGGGACGAGAGGGCCAAAAGTCACCAAAAGTATCACCCCAAAAGGGGTGAGAGGACCAAAAGTGACCAAGAGTGGCACCTCAAAAGGGATGAGAGCACCAAAATTGGTGTCCCAAAAGGGACAAGAGGACCAAAAGCGGCCACAAGCCGTGTCCCAAAAGGGACGAGAAGACCCCAAAAAGTGCCGTCCCACTTTGGGCTCCCCCCGTGACTCCTTTGGGGCCATTCAAATGGGGGACACCCAAAACCACCCATCCCTCTGTGCGCTGCCCGGCTGCCCCGGGGAGCCCTGTGGGGTGCCTCCCCCCGCCCTGGCCCTGTGTTCTCCCCTATTCCCTTCCAGCAGGACGAGCTGGGGGCAGCCCGAAGGCCCCTTCCCGAGCCCCATGGCTGGAGGCACGGAGGCTGGAGCCCTGCCGCCTTCCCCAGCGGCCGCACGCACCCAGCCGGGTCCCGGTGGGCTTCTCCCGCACATCCCACCCAGCGCAGAGCGGGGCTGGGAGGCGTTCGCCATCCCTCAGCTCGCTTCCTCCCCCGGCTCCCGGCCCCGCTATTGTTTCCCAATGCTTTTAGCTCCAGGGTAAAAGCTCGCACAGGCCTCCCGAGGAAGGCAGCGAGGTGCTGAGGGGTTTCTATGCCATCCCCCCTCATGCCCCCTCAAATCTCAGCATCTCCCCCTGCTCCTTCTGGCAGCAAACACCCCGTTCCCCTTCACTTCTCCGGATAACCCCAACCGGCCGCTCCCGACAAAGCAGCGTCCGCCACGCGCGGCCCCAAAACCCTGCGCTTCCCCCTTTTTGGCAAGGGGAAGTTTGGGGAGTTTTGGGGCCCGTTGGCGCAGCCGACACGTACCTCGCTCCGCTGGGCTGTGTGCGGGAGCGCGGCGGGCAGAGCTGACGCCTTCCTGCTGCAGTTACTACGCAACCTCTGCTGCTGTACACACGGTGCCTGCTAGAGGGAGAAGGGCACGGTGGGGCTCTGACCGTGTTTTTCCTCCCGGGAGCACCCAGCATCCTGCTGCTGCCCGTGCTGGGTGCTCCCCACCAGCCTGCGAGCGCCCGCGGGGCACGCTGCTGGTGCTGCCCCCCCTAAAAGCGGCCCCAGCACCCCCAGCAGGCAGGATCCCAGCCCTCAGACCTCTACCTCCTCCTCCCAGAGCCCCGCAGGCTCTCCCCCTCGCTGGCACAAAGATTAATTAATGTTTCACAAGCCCACAAGCGAGGCGGAGGCAGAAGGCAGGCTCCATTCTTCCCTCCAAAAGAGCAGCAGGGGCCGTGAGGCGCCTTTTGTTCCCCCCGGGGGGCTGCTCGGTCCTGCCATCTGCGCCGAGAGCCGGGCTTCACACCTGGCCGTGTGAGTTTGGGTCATCGGCTTCTTTTAGGGGTGAGGAGAGCAGCTGCACCGGGGGTGTCGCAGCCAGGATGGCCTCGTCTGAGGGGGGTAACAGCGCAGCGAGGCAGTGTCCCCACTTTGGGGTCGTTTCTCAGCTTTTTGCCTTCACAGCCCGGTCTCCAGGGCTGAGTGTGTCCACGTTGGGGGACCCTTTGTCTTCAAAGGTCTCACGGGGTGCTGCCCTGAAAGGGGTCCCAGCCCGCGCTAGCTGTTCTCCCCCCAGCTGCCTTTACAACCCTTCTCCAGGGGAGATGGGAACCGAGCAGCAGAAGCCTGAAGAGCTGAAACTCTCCTTCCATAGTGCCCAGGAGAGAGCCGAACACCAGAGGGTGCACTGCTTCCCCTTCCCTCCCACGAAAGAACAGGTCATCCACAAAAAGGAGTTTCTGGAGCACTCCTGTGCCCCCGGGCCAAACCCCAAACCCACCAAAGCCTCCCAAACCAGCATGGTTTGAGCATGGCACTAGTGTCTGGCCTCGGTGCCCACCAGGTGCTCCTGGACAGGAGGAGGGGAGGGATGACCACCCCTCACAAAGCAGCTCACTGCTGTCTGTGCCTGTACCTCCTGAGCACTCGCTGGTTTTGAGGTTTTGGAGTGTTTTGTGTCACTGGACTTT